TCTGTGAGTTCAAGGCCAGCCTAGTCCACACAGTGAGTTCCAGGACAGGCTCCAACACCACAGAGAAACCTTGTCTCAAAAACAAACAGAAAAGGAAATCCTGCACAGGATTGCCTACAGGCCAGTCTGCTGGGGATATTTTCTCAGTGGAGGTTTCTTCTTCCCAGATAACCCTAGCTTAAGTAAAGTTCACAAACAAAACAACAACAACAACAACAAAAAACTGGCAGAGAGACTCTCCATGGGTCACAAAGCCCCTTTAGATCCCGTATCTTCACCTGTCCCACAAAGGTGTTATTTTTTGTAGATTCTCCTACCCAGCAGGTCTGTTTCTTCTGGACTGGAGCTCCCTGCAGGCTGGACTCCAGTTCTGTATTATAGCAGCAGCACCCAGCCTAGAGACGCGATGAACGGAGAGTCATGTGTTTACAGGTGTGGGGGCTCTTCCTTCTGCAGGTATACCTGGCCTTGGGCCTGACCCAGTCAGAGATCGATGAATACTTCACCGGTCCGGCCTTCCTGGCCTGGGAACGCATGGGTAATCTGCACACCTGGGGTGGCCCCCTGCCCCGCTCCTGGCATCTCAAGCAAGTCTACCTGCAGGTAAGGAGTGGAGAAGGAAAAGGTCTCAGACCCAGGGATGGCGGTGCTTAGCCCTCAGGCTCTTAACTGGTCCACAGGGAACTTCCCTCCCTGAATAAGCAAGGGCCTCCCCCAGCAGAGGTCCTGGCACATTGACCTCTGTCCCTCTCAGCATCGGATCCTGGACCGGATGCGTTCCTTTGGCATGATCCCAGTGCTGCCTGCCTTCGCAGGACACGTCCCCAAGGCCATTACCAGGTGAGGCCCTCCTTATTCAACTCAAAGGGAAAAGGTTTGCCCTGAAAAGAATTATGTAATCACAGAAACTCTGGACATTAGCGTCTCTTGACTCCTGGTTCTGCCATCGGCCATTGCCTGGACAGATGATTTGACGTCTCCGTGACTCAGTTTTCTTGCTTGTAAAATGGGTCCATTGCTGGGTAGGATGGGACACACTCTTCTGATCTTTGTATTAGGGAGTTTGAGGCGGGGACACCGCCAGTTCCAGGCCAGCCTGAACTACATAGAGAAACCCAGTCTTTCTATATGTAAATTTTTACCCACAGGGTCAGGGCCCACTACTCTTGCCATGGACCATGGTTCAGTTCCCAGCACCCACATGGTAGTTCACAGCTGTCTGTCACTCCTGTTCCAGAGGATCCGATGACTTCAGGCACTGCATACACCTGCATAAATGCAGATAAACACTCATGCACATAAACGTCAGAGAATCTTTTTTTTTGTTTTGTTTTGTTTTGTTTTTCAAGACAGGATTTCTCTGTGGCTTTGGAACCTGTCCTAGCACTAGCTCTGTAGACAAGGCTGGTCTCGAACTCACAGAGATCCGCCTGCCTCTGCCTCCCGAGTGCTGGGATTAAAGGCGTGCGCCACCATCGCCCGGCATACGTCAGTGAATCTTAAAGTATTCCCAAATTATTAGCATCAAACTTAGAAAGCTCACCAAGTTTAAAAGGTTTAGTTTATTTTATGTGTATAGGTGTTTTGCCTGTGTGTGTATGTGTGTGTGCGTACCACATTCATGCCTGCTACTGGTGGAAAACAGGAGAGGGCATCAGATCCCCTAAGGCTGGAGTGACAGATGGCTGTGAACTTCCATGTAAGTGCTGGGAATCAAACCTGGTCCTCTGGAAGAGCAGCCAGTGTTTTTTTTTTTTGTTGTTTTTTTTTTTTGTCTTTTGAGACAGGGTTTCTCTGTGTAGCTTTGGAGCTTGTCCTGGAACTTACTCTGTAGACCAGGCTGGCACTGTAGACCAGGAGGCAGAGGCAGGCCGATCTCTGTGAGTTCGAGGCCAGCCTGGTCTACAAAGGGAGTTCCAGGACAGGCTCCAAAGCTACAGAGAAACTCACTATTATAAACTGATTGGCCTAGTAGCTCAGGCTTCTTATTAACTCTTACAACTTATATTAACCCATAATACTTGTCTGTGTTAACCACATGGCTTGGTACCTTTTTCGGCAAGACAGTCACATCTTGCTTCCTCAGTCTCTGGATCATGACTTCAGACTGACTTTCCTCTTCCCAGAATTCTCCTGTTCTTGTTGCACCACCTCTACTTCCTGCCTGGTTACTAGCCAATCAGCATTTTATTAAACTAGTACAAGAAACACATCTTTCCAGGGTAAAAACATTGTCCCACAGCACTGGGATTAAAGGCATCTGCCACCACCGCCTGGCACAGCCAGTGTTCTTAACTAATGAGATATCACTTCAGTCCCTAAGTTTCATTTAGTGTGTGTTATTATTATTATTATTATTTAATAAAAGGCTATTTAAAGAAAAGGAATGAAAAATTACTAAAAGGTAGTTCCTGCAAACCTTGGGTACGTATATGCAAGCACAGAATGTCAGTAAGCAGCTGGTCTTGCCAGTGACCCAGGGGCTGTGTTGGTCTCTGCCCGTGTTTTGTACCCTGTCTTCTCTTCTGTGGCTGGACAGACCTTTGAGGTCTGGATGAGTCTCCTCCTTCGTAAAGCCTTGCCAGCACCTCCTGGTGACCCCATCATGCCTGGGAGCACCTGGCTCCCCTCACAGTCACCGAGTATGGGCTACCCCTCCCTCTTGCTCACCAAGCGGTGGGAACCTCCTTCTTCTCAATCAGTGAACATCTTCCCAGGTGTCTACAGATGTCAGACCCAGTCCCGTGCTGGGTCCTGGGGTTGCAGTGACAAAGGCACCCATGGCTCTGTCCCTATGGAGACATGATTGGCAGAGGAAGATAGCAGAGCCTGTATAGACAGGCTACTCTTGGGGATAGTGAGGAAGAACCGGGCGGATAAGCCTTAGAGGTGGAGGAAGTGTACCAGGCAAGGGATGTAGTGTGTGTAAAGACATGGCGGTGTGAGAAACTCAGACATATTCCAGAAAGCCACAGATGTAAGGCTGATGAGGGATATAAGACCAAGCCAAACACTGCGTCAGCCTCTGCCAACCCTGAGCCTCTTTTTCCCCCACAGGGTGTTCCCACAGGTCAACGTCACCCAGTTAGGCAGCTGGGGACACTTCAATTGCTCCTACTCGTGCTCCTTCCTTCTGGCTCCAGGGGACCCCGTATTCCCCCTCATTGGGAGCCTCTTCCTGCGGGAGCTGACCAAAGAGTTTGGCACAGATCACATCTACGGGGCTGACACCTTCAACGAGATGCAGCCACCCTCTCCGGAGCCTTCCTACCTCACCGCAGCCACTGCAGCTGTCTATGAGGCCATGATTGCAGGTATGGTGGATTGGAAGCCCCCTGGGACCTCAGGGAGAGGGGGTGGGTGGGAGGAGGACCTGTACCCTGGGGATACCACACTTTGCAGCTCAACAGGCTTTTGTGCACATCTGCCATGCTACTTACCCACTCTGGGTGCTGAGGTCTGGCTGATATTGGTTGGCAAGTGATTCTTTCCCTCCCGGGGTTTGTTGCGTCATCTAGTAGAGCAGGGTGCCTAGCTTTGTAAGAAAAAAAAAAAAAAACAATTTATGAACGAGTTTTTTTTTTTTTTTTTTTTTTTGGTTTTTCGAGACAGGGTTTCTCTGTGGTTTTGGTTCCTGTCCTGGAACTAGCTCTTGTAGACCAGGCTGGTCTCGAACTCACAGAGATCCGCCTGCCTCTGCCTCCCAAGTGCTGGGATTAAAGGCGTGCGCCACCACTGCCCGGTTTATGAACGAGATTTTTAAACTGGGTAGTGGTGGTGCATGCCTTCAATCCCAGCACTTGGAAAGGCAGAAGCTGGTAGATCTCTGAGTTCCAGGCCAGCCTGGTCTACAGAGCAAGTTCTAGGACAGCCAGGGCTACACAGAGAAAGCCTGTCTTGAATGAGCAAACAAACAAATAAGTGAATAAAAATAAAAATATTTTAAGCCAGGCATGGTGGCAGGGGCCTGTAACCCTAGTGCTTGGGAGGCAGAGGCAGGAGGATGGGGAGTTCAAGGCAGCCTGGGCTACTTCAGAATGGGGTGGTAGCAGCAGCAAGATGCCCTGGTGAGTAAAGGCATTCAAACCTAACAACCTGAAGTTGATGCATGAAACCCACACAAAGATGGAAGGAGAGAGCTCCAAAAAGTTGTTCTGAGACTTCCCCACATATGCGCACACATACACTCCAGATACACGAACAACAGCAATTGCAGAGCTTTTATTTGGAGCTGGTCATGGTGGCGAACACTTTTAATTTTAGTATTCGGGAAGCAAAGGCAGGTGGATCCCTGAGTTGAGGCCAACCAGAACTACACGGTGAGTTCCAGGACAACCAGGCTGAGGTGGAAAGACCCTGTCTCAAAACCAAGCAACAGCACCAATAATTTATTTGTCTCTACCTCATTGTTGGGATCAGTTGTAAAGGCCAGAGGTTCTACATCCATCCTGTCCGACCGATATAAGGCCAAGACTTCTATCTACCACTTACAGAAGAGGAGGGGCCCAAGTGATGGAGAGCCCTCTGTCATCCTAATGGGTCATCCCGAAAGGCACACATTGGCTTATGCTTCTTCAGGCATGATCTGGAGCCAGAGGCCCAAGCCTCATTTTTTTTTTCTTTTTTCTTTTTTCTTTTCTTTTTTTTGTGCGGGGAGGGGAATGGTTTCAAGACAGGGTTTCTCTGTATAAAAGCCCTGACTGTCCTGGAACTTGCTTTGTAGATCAGGCTGGCCTTGTGCAGACCAGGCTGGCCTTGAACTCACAGAGATCAACTTGCCTCTGCCTCCCAAGTGCTGGGATTAAAAGTGTGCACCACCAAGGCACTGGCTTTGACTTTTCAACTAAGGAAAAAATAAGGGGCATGCGGAAGTCACAGGACAGCTCGAGGGAGTCTGTTCTTTCCTTCTGTAATGTGGGCTTGTGGATGGAACTCTGGGTATCAGGTTTAACACTAAGAACCTTCCCTAGCAGGGCCTTCTCGCAGACCTGAGTCTCCACCTTTTTATCTCACCGTGAAGATTAGGCATGAAACTTTAATCTTTTACTTATGAACCCTGGAGAAACATACTCCAACACTATCTCAACCCAAATACTTTCAGATATGAGGATTCTCAGGCCCAACCGCTGGGTTTCCTGATTGAGCAGGTCCAGAATTTGGGGCCCAAGCATCCGTGTCTTAAACTTTCTGGGTAGCTCTGATGTCCAAGAAGCTGGCTAAGTACTGTACTGGAGGAGGCGGGTTGGGGGAGGGTCCGGGGGTGGCAGAACAGCAGGTGGATCAGACATGGGTGATGAATGCCCTGTAACAATTGCCTTCTTTCCTCCTGGGCAGAATAGGGTCCACATCAGCCTCCTCATCTCTCTCTTTGTCCCTCCCCCCCCCCCCCCCCCCCCCCCCCCCCCCCCCCCCCCCCGCTCCGCAGTGGACCCTGATGCTGTGTGGCTGCTCCAAGGTTGGCTTTTCCAGCATCAGCCCCAGTTCTGGCGCCCTGCTCAGGTCAAGGCTGTGCTGGAGGCTGTGCCCCGCGGTCGTCTCCTGGTTCTGGACCTGTTTGCCGAGAGCCAGCCAGTTTACCTCCACACCGCCTCCTTCCACGGCCAGCCCTTCATCTGGTGCATGCTCCACAACTTTGGGGGCAACCATGGCCTGTTTGGAACCCTGGAGGCTGTGAACCAAGGCCCCAGGGCAGCCCGCCTCTTCCCCAACTCCACCATGGTTGGCACTGGCATAGTCCCTGAGGGCATCGGCCAGAATGAAGTGGTCTATGCCCTCATGGCCGAACTGGGCTGGCGCAAGGACCCTGTGCCAGATTTGGTGGCCTGGGTGAGCAGCTTTGCCAGTCGCCGATATGGGATCTCCCAACCGGATGCGGGGGCAGCCTGGAGACTCCTTCTCAGGAGTGTCTACAACTGCTCTGGGCAAACCTGCAGTGGGCACAATCGGAGCCCGCTGGTCAAGCGGCCATCCCTACGGATGAATACCACCGTCTGGTACAACCGATCAGATGTATTTGAGGCTTGGCGACTGCTGTTGGCAGCGGCTCCCAACCTGACCGCCAGTCCAGCCTTCCGTTATGACCTGCTGGATGTCACCAGGCAAGCAGTGCAAGAGCTGGTCAGTCTGTGCTATGAGGAGGCCAGGACCGCCTACCTGAAGGGGGAGCTCGATCTCCTGCTCAGGGCTGGAGGCCTTCTGGCCTATAAGCTCCTGCCTGCCCTAGATGAGCTGCTGGCCAGTGACAGCCGCTTCCTGCTGGGCAGCTGGTTGGATCAGGCCCGGGCAGTGGCTGTGAGTGAAGCCGAGGCCCAGTTTTATGACCAAAACAGCCGCTACCAGCTAACCCTGTGGGGGCCTGAGGGTAACATTCTAGACTACGCCAATAAGCAGCTGGCGGGACTGGTGGCTGACTACTACCAGCCACGATGGGGTCTCTTCGTGGAAACTCTGGCTCAGAGCCTAGCCAGAGGAGTCCCCTTCCAACAGCACAAGTTTGAGAAGAATGTCTTCCCACTGGAGCAGGCCTTCGTTATCAATAGGAAGAGATACCCCAGTCAGCCCCAAGGGGACACCGTGGACCTAGCCAAGAAGATCTTCCTCAGATATCACCCCCAGGCAGGCTCTTTGTGACAGATATATCCAGGGATCTGCTGGATCAGGTCTTCAAACGGAAAAGGCAATGTGTGATCCCTGAGCCTGGGAGAAGGAGCAGGGTCAGCCATGGCTTGGAGGGAAATGAGCTACTCTGGGCAGTCACCCTACATCTGGGGGCTAAAGTACTGTTTTCTGCTAACAATAAACCGCTGAACCAGCCTGGCTCTATTAACCGAGGTTCCGTTCACTGCTGGTGGTGGGGAAGCTCAGCCGCTCACATCTGGCTAGGGTGTGGCCGCCTGGAGCCAGGTAGATAAACCTGGAGATCCACGTGCGCTCGCTCTCTGTGTGCGTGTTCGCCTGACCAGTTTGGACATCGGAACTTTTACTCAGGTCGCGTGAGTTTCCCCATTTTCAATTATTAAATTATATCTGTTGTTTTGAGCTGGTCTGGTTATTTTAGCGTACTGGTCGGATACGCCTTCATCCTGGTATGTCTGGAAGGGCATGGGTGTCCATGTGGAGCCTGGTGTGGGGGCATTTCTTCCCAGGCCTCACTTGAGCGTCCCCGTTTTAACACTGGTCCCCTTAGAAGCTGTACAGCTGTACAGCTGGTAATCTTCTTGAGAGGATGGTGGTACACACCTGGAATAACAACCCTGAAAAGGTAGAGGCAGGAGGGGTCAGAAGTTCAAGGGCAACCTCAGCAGCTATATTATGAATTTGAAGGTGGCCTTGGGTACAAGATAGCCTGTCTCAAAAAAAAAAAAAAAAAAAAGGCAGGTGGATGTAAGTTTGAGGCCAGCCTGGTCTACCTGGCAAGACCCTTGTCTCAAAGAAGTTCCTTGGGTAGAAGTTTTGTCCCTGTGGCCAGCTCTCGCTGGCACTGCTCAATTTGCACCTGAACACCCAGTTGGTACTTAGCCTCTCCTTTACCCTGACCAACTGAGCCAGCTTGGTGACACAACCACCTTTCCTCTGCTTTGTCCCACAGCAGGGTGGGGAGAGCCTGCCAGGGACCTGGCTCAGCCTTGAGATCGCTGGCAGACACAACAAGGGGCGGGGGCACTGGCACTGGAAAGAGTCAAGCAGAAACCCAGCCCCAGCCTGCCACTAGGACCCTTCCTGTTCCCAGCATCAGTGCCCTTGGCCATGGACCGCACAGTAGTGCTGATTACCGGCTGCTCCTCTGGAATCGGCCTGCACTTGGCTGTTCGTTTAGCTTCTGACCAGTCCCAGAGCTTCAAAGGTATAGGAGGGGACAGGCATGGAGGCCAGGGAAGAGCCCCCACAGGTAAGCAGGGTGCTGAGTCATTTATCCCCTCCCAAATTTTAGTATATGCCACACTGAGGGACCTGAAGACTCAGGGACCGCTGTTGGAGGCAGCCCGGGCTCGAGGATGCCCTCCTGGCTCCCTGGAGACGCTGGAATTAGATGTCAGGGATGCAAAATCTGTGGCCGCTGCCCAGGCTCGCGTGACCGAGGGTCGTGTGGAAGTGCTGGGTGAGCCTACCCGAAATACATGTAATAGGCTTTACTATCCAGTGTTCAACCAGACCGGGAAGTACCGAGTTCAGGGAACATGGGAGGACAAGCTGGGGGTGGGAAAGAGCCGTGCTTGAGCAAGCGGTGTCTGTTCTCTCTCCCTCCAGTGTGTAATGCCGGCCGGGGCCTATTCGGGCCGCTGGAGGCGCATGAGCTGGACGCGGTGGGTGCTGTGCTGGACGTGAATGTGGTTGGGACAGTTCGGATGCTTCAGGCCTTTCTGCCGGACATGAAGAGGCGCCACTCCGGGCGTGTGTTAGTGACTGCGAGTGTAGGAGGCTTGATGGGTGAGCAAAAGGGACAGAGTGAGTAAGTAAGGGGTACTGAGCAAGGCGAGGAGCGCCAGGGCCTCTGCAACCTTGACTTCCCTCCTAGGGCTGCCGTTCCACGAAGTTTACTGCGCCAGCAAGTTTGCGCTCGAGGGTTTGTGCGAGAGTCTAGCGATCCTGCTGCCGCTCTTTGGAATCCAGTGAGTCACCAGCTTTCCACAATCTTCTGAAGTTTGGGAACCCCAAACTTTTAGACACTCTTGGGCAATGCCTCTGGCCCTCCTTTTACAGTTCACAGTGTGTGCTAGATGCTATGCTGGGAGCTTGGCACCGGTATCTCACTTCACAAGCCTCCCTGGCTTTAAGGCATGTTGGGATGGGTAAACAGAGCGAGTAGGTGACTAGACCCCAGAGCGCTCTGGTAATGACAGCATCTGTCACCTGGGCACAGTCCCTCTCAGTGCCCTCCCTTTGTGGAGCTAAGGTTAGGCTTGTGGTCACAGCCAATAACCAGTCACTGCTGTTGCCCCTGCAGCGTGAGCCTCATCGAGTGCGGGCCAGTGCACACAGCCTTCTTTGAGAAGCTAGAGGGTGGTCCCGGCGGGGCTCTGGAGCGTGCAGATGCCCAGACCCGCCACCTCTTCACGCATTACCAGCGTAGCTATGAGCAAGCTCTGAGCGAGGCACAGGACCCAGAGGAGGTGACAGAGGTGAGTGCAAACGGGACCTCCTCCGGGCACAGTCTCCGGGTGGGGCGTGGCGGTGCACCCCCTAGTAGTTCCCCCACAGACCGGTGCTGCTCTTCCCGCCGCAGCTCTTTCTGACCGCGCTGCGAGCCCCGCGGCCAGCCCTGCGTTACTTCTCCACCCACCGCTTCCTGCCCCTGACCCGGTTGCGCACAGAGGATCCCAGCGGCAACAGCTACGTCGCTGCCATGCACCGCGAGGCCTTCGCTGACCTCCAGGCGCAGGAAGGCTCCGAGACAGGGGCCAGAGTCCCGGGGGACCTGGACGCGGCCTCCAGCGCCCTCATTTGCCTCTCTGGGTGAGCGACCCCTCAGGTGGCATCTGAATTGTGCTGGCCCGCATTGGATAAGCCGGGTCAGAACAAACCATGCTACCAGCAAAAGAACTAAACCAGAGTCTCCTTTTCTTATTTTAGAATTTGTTTTCTCTTTGATGGGGTCTCACTATGTAGCCCTGACTGGCCTCTAACTCATAGAGATCCGCTTGCCTCTGCCTCCTGAGGGTTGGAATCAAAGGCCTGTGCAACCATGCCCTTCTCAGAATCATTTTAAATAGTGCAAACTTCCTCATGGGTCAAGATTGAGGGCTAATAATATGTATAGTCCGAGGTTCTAGGTTAAGGGTTTTTTTTCTTCCAATAAATTTATTATTATTGTGCATGATGTGGATGGGGACACAATCAACCATGGCACACAGTGCAGAGGTCAGGGGACTTTGTTATCTCCCCCACCATGGACTCCAGGTCTTCAGGCTTGAACCGGAAATGCCTTTAACCGATGAGCCAGCAAGTTGGGGGAGGTTTTAACTGTCAGCGATGACTGGGATCAGCCCAATTGTTGTCGAATCGGTGTCTCAAGTCGCCCAGGCTGGCCTTGAACCAGCTGTGTAGCTGAGGATGACTTTGACATTTCTGATCCTCCCGAGTGTTGGGTGTACAGGC